CTCAATAAATGAATCATTAAAATAAAGACATAAAATCGGCTGATGAATTTAGTTCTGTAGCTGAACAGTTTTAGATCTCGACACTTAACAAACTCCTGCCTATCGTGACTCGGCGCAAAAATTGAAAATACTGGTTCCGTACGTCATGCGGACTGCGCCCCTCGTGCGGATGGGCGGGAATGGAGGGTAAAAACCGTTGGTGTGAACTAGTTCTTTAGTTCATTTAGTTTAAGAACTACCCAAGCCTAATTAGATAAATAGTTTTCTGTAATAACTTTCAATTCCTACGGCTTTCATCACTTCCAATGGTATTATTTTTATGAAGTACAATAAATATTATTTAGATGAATAGGCGTGGAGTATGCCCACCGGGGAAATCGCGGCAAAAATATGCGCTAATTTCACAATTTCAGAAGTAGAGTGGAAATTGTGAATATTGTGGAGAATACAACTTTTGAAATGCTATATTTCAAAATAATATCAACTCACAACACAGCACAAAATAAGAGAAAGAACTTTAGCAACGATTGTGACGAAAATTATACGCATTCTTTAACTGCCTTGGAAACTGACTGTTTTTTTTTGTTTATTCGGAACGTTGCAAAACACAAACCAAAAAATAAGAAAAAGAATTTTAGCAACGACTCGCATGAATAAAAAAATCTCCGTCAGGCGCAGTTAAAAATGCGTACAATTTTCGTAACGAAATTTATACTACAAATTAGGGTTTCTAGTTCAGCTTTCGTCACTCGAAAATTTTACCTCAAATAGCTGTTTTATTTTATATTATTTCCACTGGGTTAGTGTGTTTGTTTTTGTTTCAGTGTGTTGGTATATTTGGAATAAATTTTGATAGAAATTGTAAATTTTGATGAAATGGAAGAAATTGTAAAAGATAACAGCAAATGCCTTTCGATACTAATCTTCAGCTAGATGCACGATAATTAGCCCGAAAATTATGTATATTCGCTCTCCGAGGAAGAACGGAAGGCACGTTTTCAGTGTGTTAGATGCACATACGATTCGAAGGCCCATCATCGACTCGGACCACCAAAGCTAAAGTAGGTAATATGCAGCTCAATTATAATTGCGAAACTCTATTTTTTTTGTTAAATTGGTGCATCTAATTGAGTCGTTTATTCTGCTCTTAAGATACGCACATGCCTCTGTGCAGCACAGGATTTGCATCATAATCAGGCCTGAGCGACGTCGACTATTTTCCATAATACACCAAGAAGCCTCGACTTAGGGACGTTCTGAAATCATCAACGTATCGATACTTGCTCAAATGAGTAGTGCTCAAATCGTCATTCCGATACTACTCAAATGAGCAAATCGTAAGCAACGATACCTACTTATATCGATATGTATTTGTTTTTAGTTATGCGATGGAATATACCAGCTCATTACTTTTCTATTCAGTTCCTGCGTTGTGAACGGTTACATTGCAAATCACATTTGTGAATATGCTCAACAGCTGTTTTTTGTTTACAAAATAATATGCGGCACAACGCAAGGTATGTTATGCCTGAATTATAATAGAAGTAACGGAACGGAGTGAACTGTCACTTAATTATCTATTGTATGGGCAATGAATTCGAACGATTATAACGCACTTGAACGTAACGTAAAACGGAAGCATCTAAAATCAATAGATCCTTACGAATTCGCCGCGATTTGTTACGATTCGCCCCGTGCATGAAAGCCAAGGTATAAAGCAAACTTTGTAACAAGGCGAATTTATACAAGGTGGTGTTATTGGCGAATTTAGATTTTCGCCGTGGTACTTCCCAATGTCAAAATGATGTGCTTGTTGTAAACAAGGTGAATTCATATTACAACAACCACATCATTTTGACATTAAGAAGTACCGCGACGAAAATCTAAATTCGCCTTGCTTTGTAACGTCGTCAGCGCCCAAACCGGTCAAGACAGCGCCGCAGCAATTAAACGAGTGTACCTTCGGCATAAGGCCAACAATTGATCGCCTTCTAAAATTATTTTCCAGGCGTTCATTGTGACATTACACCCAGTTTCAATACGCAACGCCCTGACAAAAATTAAAATTTTATTTTCTCGGCGCTAGCGCCGCGTTATTTTGGCATGCTTCATACAAATTGTAGGGGCATGACGATTTTTGAAAATTCCATTGTGCCTGAGGCGCCAATTTAGGGATATNAATGTAAGCCGGTTAAACTTTACTATTCACAATTAATTGCACTAAGAAGCAATTCTATGATCAAAAGCAAAAATCCGTTCAAATTACTTAAAAAAGGAAGTAATTAAAAACATGTCATATATGTATGTATAATAAACTCTATGTATGTAATCGCCATATAGACGGAAGGCACGTTTTCAGTGTGTTAGATGCACATACGATTCGAAGGCCCNAAGCCGGTTAAACTTTACTATTCACAATTAATTGCACTAAGGAGCAAATCTATGATCAAAAGCAAAAATCCGTTAAAATTACTTAAAAAAGGAAGTAATTAAAAACATGTCATATATATATGTATAATAAACTCTAGGTATGTAGTCGCCATATAAACGGAAGGCACGTTTTCAGTGTGTTAGATGCACATACGATTCGAAGGCCCATCATCGACTCGGACCACCAAAGCTAAAGTAGGTAATATGCAGCTCAATTATAATTGCGAAACTCTATTTTTTTTGTTAAATTGGTGCATCTAATTGAGTCGTTTATTCTGCTCTTAAGATACGCACATGCCTCTGTGCAGCACAGGATTTGCATCATAATCAGGCCTGAGCGACGTCGACTATTTTCCATAATACACCAAGAAGCCTCGACTTAGGGACGTTCTGAAATCATCAACGTATCGATACTTGCTCAAATGAGTAGTGCTCAAATCGTCATTCCGATACTACTCAAATGAGCAAATCGTAAGCAACGATACCTACTTATATCGATATGTATTTGTTTTTAGTTATGCGATGGAATATACCAGCTCATTACTTTTCTATTCAGTTCCTGCGTTGTGAACGGTTACATTGCAAATCACATTTGTGAATATGCTCAACAGCTGTTTTTTGTTTACAAAATAATATGCGGCACAACGCAAGGTATGTTATGCCTGAATTATAATAGAAGTAACGGAACGGAGTGAACTGTCACTTAATTATCTATTGTATGGGCAATGAATTCGAACGATTATAACGCACTTGAACGTAACGTAAAACGGAAGCATCTAAAATCAATAGATCCTTACGAATTCGCCGCGATTTGTTACGATTCGCCCCGTGCATGAAAGCCAAGGTATAAAGCAAACTTTGTAACAAGGCGAATTTATACAAGGTGGTGTTATTGGCGAATTTAGATTTTCGCCGTGGTACTTCCCAATGTCAAAATGATGTGCTTGTTGTAAACAAGGTGAATTCATATTACAACAACCACATCATTTTGACATTAAGAAGTACCGCGACGAAAATCTAAATTCGCCTTGCTTTGTAACGTCGTCAGCGCCCAAACCGGTCAAGACAGCGGCGCAGCAATTAAACGAGTGTACCTTCGGCATAAGGCCAACAATTGATCTAAAATTCTAAAATTATTTTCCAGGCGTTCATTGTGACATTACACCCAGTTTCAATACGCAACGCCCTGACAAAAATTAAAATTTTATTTTCTCGGCGCTAGCGCCGCGTTATTTTGGCATGCTTCATACAAATTGTAGGGGCATGACGATTTTTGAAAATTCCATTGTGCCTGAGGCGCCAATTTAGGGATATCAGTATGGCACTTCAACAAGTTGATTCGAGGGAAGAACTTTTCCTTCGAAACAAAACTTATTTGTGTTGGACCGTCCCTAGCTCGATGTTGAAAATCTGCAATCGCTACAGACAGCCAGTCAGTTTCAATGAAATTTGATAATTAGGGATTTTCGTCGTCACTGAATTCGAATATTAAATTAAATTTTCAAAATTCAAAACGGCGGATCCAATATGGCGGACGATTTATTAAGAAATGTATAGATTGTTATGAAGCTTGGTGTCCAGAGCTTTTCGTCGTCACTGATCTCGAAATTTATATTTAGTTTTAAAAAATCAAAATGGCGGATCCAATATGGCGGACTATTTCCTCAAAAATGTATACATTGTTATGAAGCTTGGTACCCAGAGATTTTCGTCACTGATTTCGAAGTTGATAATATATTTTTAAAAATTCAAAATGGCGGATCAAATATAGCGTTCCAAACAATAGGCATTTAACTTTTAATGCAATGCTTAACTTTAGCACCCTTTGAATCCATTTTGAATTTAGAAAATGTAATTTCAATTTCGTAAACAAAGATAAGCAGGATCTCTGAATACCAAGTTTCATAACAAACTATAATTAAAAAAGTGGTCCGCCATTTTGAATTTCGAGAATTTTATATCAAT